GAAGAAAAATAAAACCATACCTGGAAACTACAAGGAAATTGTCGTTACAAGTATCTTTTCTAAAATCTTTGAATCCATTGTTAAAGGAAGACTAGAATATAAACTACTACCATCACAAAATCCATTACAACGAGGTTTTACAGAAGGGGCATCAAGTCTTTTTGCAGCCTTTATTACAACAGAAACTGAATTCTTTCAGTATGTCGTTTATGGCCGATGCCAAGCTAACTGGCTCAGTCTATAAATATCAGCATACAAGATAATGCTATATAATTTTAACATTTGCCTTGGCAGGGCACCTATCGACTAGAACACTGTGTCTAAACTACCCCGGCGAAAAATGTTTGGACTCAATAGTATCTAATGTCCGGTACGGTGACGGACAATCGACAGACAGAGAAAGGTAGAAATTCTGTTTATTTATATGTTGTTTTAATGATATTGAAGAATATACATACACATATAACTATTTTCGATATTGTGATGTAATATTTTCTACAACCGTTCTAGATTTATGGAGAAATAAGTAAAAAGGCACATCAAAATGGTGAATTGAGTAAACCCTGCCTCGAATTTGTTTACTTTCTCTTTAAATTGAGCACATTGTACGGAAAGAAAGGTACGGAAAGAAAGATATTAACTCGATGATTTCAAGACTTGTCACTATGAACACCTCAATATTTGCATGTCTGTGCATGGAATGAAAGAAGTGGGTCGTGTCAAAATTGAAGCACCCGGTTTTGTCAATGTGTACGACCCGGTTTTGTCCTTAAATTTCACAAAGCAGACCCGGTTTTGTCATAGAAAATAATGCATAATCGCATGACAAATATTAAAATATGGCGTTCAACAGCAGTTTGAGGGATCGTTGAAAAACATTTTCTTTCACAGGATAACTTATAACCTTTTTGAATCCGTAAACACTTGAATTCCTGCTATATTAGAACAAAGCAAATTTCAATTTTGTTTTGTTTATAAAAAAAAAAGGAAAAATTAAAAAGAAATGAAGGTTTTGTAACGCAATTAGATTTTTTTATATGTTAATTTAAGTGTTCAAACTTAAATAGTGTACGGCCTTGAAAACTTAAGGACGCACATTTGATATGTGATTTTCTGGGACAACAAGATGGTTTTCTTAATGTTCTCTACTTAAAGGGAGAGACAGTATGATCGTTTGAAAATAAATATTCTGAAACTAAACGTTCATTATAAAGCAAGAGAATAAGAAAAATGTATATGCATGCAGAATCGCCCAAGAAAAGGAATTTCCATGCGGCGCAAAGGATCACAATAATAGTGCGTTAAAAATCTGTTTACCCCTCCTTGTTACAATGATACTAAGTATAAGTTAATATAATAGTCTTAGGTCACCCGGAAATTGCAATGATGATTATTTGATTAGTAATTTTATAAATAAACGTTGTTTTATCTCTTTTTTTTTTCTTCTTTTTTTTTACATTAACAAATTCTTTAATGCACTAGTATCGAGTTCTTAACAACTGCCCTATATACTAGTAGTACAACTATTATATATAGGTTTATCTCTTCATTGTATAATGATTATCGTTCATTGACAAATGTTCTACAATTTAAGCACGTTGGTCAAGTTTAAAATTGTCAATATGCAAGGGCGGACCGATCGCGAGGCCATGATTTTTGAAAGGGGCGTATACATAAACGGATTTTATACCGCCGAGCGTAGCAAAGGGAACTTTTTTTAACGATTTTATGCTAAAAAAATCATATATAAATCGTAAAAAACATGATAAAATAATTATATCTAGCCACCAAAAAAAAGGGGGGTCGGCGTACTACCTCTACCCCCTGGATCCGCACTGATATAATGTAACTATATCGTATACCATCATAAAATTTAATAAAATAAAGACGAAAAAACAGAGACAGCCGCCAATCGCATATTTACTATAGGGGCTCTGTAATCAAATGAGTTAAGCCTTTTTCAACTCACTGAATTTTTTTTCATATGTTGTGCTGTTATACCAGTTTTTTTCTTGTTTGTTTGGTTTTTTTTTGGGGGGGGGAGGGGGCGCTTACACGTTCAACCCCGCAATTCTGTATGTGCCAGTACCAAATCCAGGAGCCTGTAAATCGGTGGTTGTCTTTTGTTGCTGTATATATATCATACATGTATTTGTTTTTCGTTTTTTTTATTTTGTACATAAATCAGGTCGTTAGTTTTCACATTAGTTTTTTTTCACAGTTTTTATTTCGGGGCCTTTTTTAGCTTGCTATGCCGTATGGGTGTTTCTCATTGTTGGATGCCATACGGAGTTCTATATTTATTAACTTTACGTCATTTGGTCTCTGATGTCATTTTTCATGGGCTAACTTGCTACTTAGGTCGTTCTACGAAGACGAAGACGAAGATATTGGACGTTATAATGTTGCAACCCAACTTTTTTTTATAAAAAGAAATAATTCTTTCATGCCATGCTCAATGCTCATTTTAACATACTTAGGTAGGCACTATATTTGTTAAAATTTTTAAACCAAGCGTTAGCAAGGTATAAAATATTGACAAATGTAATGCCTACCTACCCATGTTAAAATGAGCGTAGAGCATGGCATGATATAATTATTTCGTTTCTAATAGGGAAGTTTAGAACTTGTGCATTTTGAAGCGGACATAAAATACACGTTCGAAAGACAATCATTTTGATCTGAGATATCCAAAACGTTCTAATAAATATAAGAAGATGTGGTATGAGTGCCAATGAGACAACTCTCCATCCAAGTCACAATTTGTAAAAGTAAACCATTGAATGCTATATATACGTATACCTTATCGAACTTATCTTCGAACTAAATTTAAATGGAAATAAATAAAAATGTCAAAGTACGGCCTTCAAAACGGAGCTTTTTCTCTCACTGTCCGTCAATGGATGAACGAATGAGTAAATATATTGTAAACATAGCGTATAGTATAGTAAAGCATACTATCCTTATTCTTTTGATAAATTGATATGGTAACACAATCATTCCACATCTTCTTACTTTTACATCATTACAGTAGTATAGAAAATAAACAAACATTTGTGAGATGTATTTCTATTTGTATCCATCTGATGAGTTAAGCCTTTTTCAACTGATTTTTAGAGTTCGTTCTTATGTTGTACTGTTACACCAATTTCCCAGGTAAGGGGGATGGTTGGGACCCCGCTAATATGTTTAACCCCGCCATATTCCGTATATATGTACCTGTCCTAAGTCAGGAGCCTGTAATTCAGTGGTTGTCGTTTGTTGCTGTGTTATATATTTGTTTTTCGTTCATTTTTTTGTACATAATTTAAACCATTAGTTTCCTCGTTTGAATTGTTTTACAAATGTCAATTCGGGGCCTTTTATAGCTTACTATGCGGTATGGGCTTTGCTCATTGTTGAAGGCCGTACGGTGACCTATAGTTGTTAATTTCTGTGTCATTTGGTCTCTTGTGAAGAGCTGTCTCATTGGCAATCACATCACATCTTCTTTTTTTATATCATAAGGAATTAATGTAAGTACATGCTATAAAGTATTTATTTCCATTTAAGTTTAGTTCGAAGATAAGTTCAATAAGGTATACGTATAGCATTCAAAAATGTCTACTCCCTATATTGAAAAGTTCCCGTTTGAAATATATTTTAACACGACATGTTTGTATTGCAATAACATCTTTATAACATCTTTTTGACTCACATATTTAATTTCTTCCGATGGGCAATGTCCAGGTCCGTGTTAACGTAGCTTTTCATAAATTTGTGGTTTCAAAACAAAACAAAACCGGGTCCTATACTGAGACAAAACCGAGTCCTTAAGTAATAAACAACATTGACGAAACTGGGTCCTTCCATTTTGACATGAATCATTTCTTTCGTTCCATGCACAGAAATGCAAATATTGAGGTGCTCATAGTGACTAGCCATGCAATCTCTGTGTTAATATCTTTCTTTCCGTACTATTCTTTCCGTACGATGTGCACAATTTAAAAAGAAATTAAACAAATTCGTAGCAAGGTTCACTCAATTCATCATTTTCATGTGCCTTTTTACTTATTTCTCCATTAATCTAGATCGGTTGTAGAAAATATTACATCACACAATCGAAAATAGTTATATGTGTATGTTTATTCTTCAATGTCATTAAAAAACAAATAAATAAACAGAAATTTTACCTTTTCTCTGTGTGTTGATTGTCCTTCACCGTGCCGGACATTAGATACTATCGAGTCCAAACATTTTTTGCCGGGGTAGTTTAGACACAGTGTAGAAATCACTAGGTTGTAAATTTATTATTTATTCATATTGTTGAATCAAAGTGCTGTAATTCAGTTGTGATGTGTGCATAATATTTTTTTATCAATATCTTTTAATATATCATCAAAGACATTTTAAACTTTTACTTAATTCACTTTAACTAACTAATTTTATTTTTAAATTATATTTTTCATATCGTAAATATTTAAAAAAATCCGCTTTTTCGGTTAAGTATTTAAAAATTTTAATACTCATTCGATAAGTGAAGTGCTCCGATAAAACGGAGGAATATACCAGAACAGAACAGTATATAAAATACCATACTCCAGTCTCCATCTGTAAACCGATATTGACCGACCGTTCAAGGGCTGTATAGCCAGTCAAAGTCGTTTAAAACTTCCATATATATGTAAACCGATATTTGCTGATTGACAACCCACACGACATGTAATAATGTGGCCGATTCGACTGTTATTGAACTGGTTTGTGACCAAAACGTCTCCAAAACATAGGTGCTCCTGTAAATTGGAGTTCTTCTACGGCTAAGAGGAGAAAAGGGAAGCGGTAAAAGACCAGAATCTAGTTCTTTAAAATTTATATGTTTTAAACTAACCCTCGTTATTTTCTTCTTCTAAAGATGAAAATCTTTACATTTAGTTATAATGTGATGGAACTATCAAAGGAATGACTTTATATGGAAAGATTTGGTTTTCGTTCAATTTCGCTCTCATTTCCGGTTTTCAAATTCGTCCGCATGTAAACAAAACAACTGTGCACGTCAGAACCACAGAAAATCGATGATAATGAATGAAAATGTAGATTAACAACCCACACGTCATGGCAGAAAAGTAAAACATCAGTATGGAATATGCAAAATCTGTTTTTGGTGGCTGGAATCAGGACGGATATAGTAGTAAAGCCACTGAAGGTAAACAAATATGCGAAAAATGGATAAAATATGCAGTAGCCTAGGCACATATCTATCGGCGCGGTCTATCGTTTCTTTCACATTTTCTACGCGTCTAACAAACTCTCAATGACAGTATAAACAAAAGGCACTTTTTTCTGTTTAAAGTGATTTCCAAAAACTATTTATTCGCCAGGATTAAACACAAGAAAACTAATATGAAAGAGAACCCTGTCTGAGTGTCTAAAATATATTTAGCAGTGCTTCCCTTAACATAGTAGCTCAGAAATCACTTCCATTAGCTGTACCAACAGAGTATTCCTTACTGTAGACAGTTGGTAGAGTGTTAACTTATTAAGTGGTGTCACGGAATAGAAGTTCCTTCATAATATAAGTTCCAAATGGAAACAATATTCTGGAATATTATTTCCACTGGAATAAATATTACAGTAAATGTTCCTAACGGAATAAATGGTATAGAATATTTGTTCCAACAGGAACAGGTATTATGACATTGTTTATAACAAAGTTTCCAGTGGAACTTCTGTTAGGTGGAACAAATATACGTTGACAATGGGTCCTAGAGGTACAATGTACAATGTAGCAGGGTTGTTTCGCCCAGTTCCTGTTTACCTCAGGTCGTTTCTTTCCAGAAAGTGAATGGTTTCATCCCGATTTAATAATATACACATAGTTTATTGTTGATTGGAGATTAAAAGAAAAGACAAAATTCAAGTTGATGGTTTAAAATGACTGTTGAGTTTTCAACAAGTGTTAACGAATTACAATGATTGTATATTCTGGCGTGTGTACAAGGTTAAACTTGTTAATTGGATGTTATTTTGGCATTTAAACCATGGGGACATATCACTATTCTTATTCAAACTTATAACACAAATTAGCATATTATCTGATCAGATCTGTACTTAGTGTCTTTTTTGTTGTGGGGATGTATAAATACCCTGCCACGTCCGATCTGTGTTTTTGTTACTTACTTTTCTGCTTTGTATTGATCTGATGAGTTAAGCCCTTTTCAACTGATTTTTATGGTCTGTTCAAATGTTGTGCTATTACACCACTGTCCCAGGTTAGGATGGTTGGGCACCCTCAAACATTTTCAGAAGCCAGAAGTCAGAAGCCTGTAATTCAGTGGTTTATCTGTTGCTGTATGCATGTATCATATTTGTTTTTTCGTTCATTGTTTTGTACATTAATCAGGCCGTTAGTTTTCTCATTTGAATTGTTTTACATTTGTCATTTCAGAGCAGGACCTGGTAGGGGGCCTTGGCACAAAGCTTCTTGTAAGCTCCTGATTTTTCCAGATTTCATGTTAACATTTTCCTCTTTTATTGTTCTCGCTTTTTCTCATTAAGCTTATAATCCATTCAGCATCTGAAGGGCTGCATGCCAATAACAAACTTATCTATTAACATAAAAATCTATATCACATATGACCATTCTAGATTTCTCTTATGCATCTCATACAGTGTTTCTTGATAAGGGTTATATTTACAGGGTTCGCACTAAGGTGAGACCATGAGTCCTGGACTCATGAAAATCTGTCTGAACTCATCATTTTTAAAACTGGTGAATCCAAAGATGCACTGAGATTGTAAAATGTTGTATTAAATGAGCACATATATCATCATAGATTAGTGAATGTGCATATATAGTATATTATAAAAGAAAATATACTAGAAAGACAAAAGATCTTGAAAATATGGTATTCCTTACCTTAACCCTCTCCGCGCCAGGAGTCGCAGAAGGCCTCCACGCTGTTCTTCTTTCTTTGATGTACATTAATAATACATTTTGCATTATTTTCATTTTCAATGAACTCTCTAAAAAATAGCATGGTATTTGAAATCTATTGTAAACACACAAGATGATTCAGTTAAAATCACTCTTTCATTTTACTGGTGTGGAATTTTCCCAGTTTGTGATGGTGTTTGTGGGTGATTCAATCTGAAAACTTCTCTATACATTTTATATTCTAATTCATAGTACATGACAGTACGAGTTGTAAATTAGAGTATTATTGCCCTAAATTTCCAGTAATCACTTTGATTCACTGTTAATTTTAACATAATCTTCTTGTGTATACAAAATCCTGCACAACTATAATAACATATTATTTTATTATAGTTGAAACCTTGTCAGAAGATGAAGATGATCTTGCACAACAATCTGGACATATTGGCATGTCACCAAGTCACACCACTAGTCCCCAGGGATTTATACCTACACCTGGAGGACCTTTCTCAGCACTCACACCATCCATGTGGCCAGAGGATATACTTACAAAACTTAGTAACCAGGTATATGTATGATAACACCCTTAGGACTTACATACACAAACATCAGGTCTATGGTACTGTCATAGGATTTCTACCATCCATGTACATTTAATCTATATTGCATACCCTGTATCACACCCCTGTTTGGATTACTTCTAGAATTATCTTTTTTTTTAACGTATAAAAAAATGTATGCTGTCTCAAACAAAGATCAATATCTCTTAGGACAATACAGCATGTGATACACATTTTTGTCGTGTATGAAACTTTTTTTTGTGGAAGCGAGATTTAGTGATCCTATATTCTTATCAGATGGCAGCGTCTATACTTAGGTTCAGTCTGTGGTTAAAGTTTTTTATAGACATTTATAACTTTGTCAAACCTTCATTGAATTTAATAAAACTTAGAGAGAAGCTTTTTTCTTATCAGAAGACAATATTCTAACCAAATTTGTTGTTTTAATTTTTTAACCGTGTTTTTCTGACAGAACTCCTGTAATTGATTTGGGGTTGTACGACAGGTGGGTTGATTTTTATTCACATTTTAGGAGTCAGGAGTTCTGATCCTTCATTGCTTTAACAATGACACTAATTAATACATATACAAATGTAATAAAAACCTGGTTTGCTGTCATTTTGATAGCCTCTTGTTACATATTTTATAAATGGACTTTTTTTAAGTTAACTTTAAGATGCAGTCTCAGGTTAAAGTTTTTCAGACATCAATAACTTTGTCTAACCTGTACCCGAAACATGGAATTTTACAAAACTTGTACAGAAGCTTTTTTATGATCAAAAGACAGTATCCAAAGCAACCATTACAATACAGTCTCTGGTTAAAAGTCTTTGAACTATCCTACTGTCTGTCGATACATTTATTTTTGGCATTGCACTAGTCATGTCTTCTTTGACTGTCCATCGTTAAAATACTAAATCCCTGGGATGTGTTTTAGTTGATTTTAGTCTCTGATGCATGATTTTTTATTATTAATTGTTTTGGCTTTTAACTAGCTGTCAGTAACTGCGAGTACTCTCAAATCATACTTTCTTGTTTATTTGGCCTGTTGATACTAATTGTATTGCTTTTTTGTTATTAAATGTTATTCAGGGTTATATCTGGTCTATATACCAGCTTTGATAAGTGTTTGGTATTACTATAAATTCTCATTTTGTACTATGAACATTAAAATTATTTATTTTGTAAAAATATTTCCTTTCTCTATTGGAACTGTACACGTATACCTAACAACAAAATTATTTTCAGTTACCTGTGTTTAAAGTTATTGCAAATGGCTAATATTTTTGTTAGAGCATATTGTTTTTCTTTAATTGTTTAACATTTCATACCGATATTACATGTTACTTTTATTATTCTTCCCTTAGTTTATTTATTTTGTATTTACATTGTATCATAGGTCAAATTCATTTGTTCAGTGTATGTTCAATGGTGTTAATATGTCCTTTGATTGAGTTAAGCTATTTCAGTTGATATTTTATAGTGTGTCTTTCTATGTTGTGATGTTACACTATTGTTTCAGAAAAAGGGTGAAGGTTTGGTACCATTAAAACGTTTAAACCTGCTGCATTTGTTTGCACCTGTCCTAAGTCAGGAATCTGATGTTCAGTAGTTGTCGTTTGTTGATGTGGTTCATAAGTGTTTCTCGTTTCTCGGTTTTTATACGACAGCAAAAATTGAAAATTTTTTGGTCGTATATTGGTATGACATTGGCGTCGTCGTCGTCTTTGTCTGGCGTCGTCCGAAGACACATTGGTTTTCGCACTCTAACTTTAGTTTAAGTGAATGGATCTCCATGAAATTTTACCATAAGGTTCAATACCACGAAAGGAAGGTTGGGATTGATTTTGGGGGTTATGGTACCAACAGTTAAGGAATTAGGGGCCAAAAATAAGCATTTTTGTAACTTCCAGACAATAACTTGTGTGTAAGTGTATGGATCTCTCTGACATTGTACCACAAGGTTCCATATCACAAAGGGAAGGCTGTAATTGATTTTGGGGATAATTGCCTCAAAATTGTAGGAATTAGGGGCCAAAAAAGGGGCAAAAAACAAGCATTTTTCTAGTTTCATGACAATAACTTGTGTGTAAGTGTTTGGATATTTCTGAAATTGTACTACAAGGTTCCATATCACAAAGGGAAAGCTGGAATTGAGTTTGTGGGTAATTGCCCGAAACGTTTTGGAATAGGGGGCCAAAAAGGGGCCAAAAATAAGCATTTTTCTAGTTTCAAGACAATAACTTGTGTTCAAGTGTATGGATCTCTCTGAAATTGTACTGCAAGGTACCATACCACAAAGGGAAGGCTGGGATTGAGTTTGGGGGTGATGAATCATAAGGGGGTTCAAAAAATTTGGGGGGGGATTTTTTTTTTTCTTTTTTTTTCTTTTTTTCCTTTTTTTTTTTCTTTTAAAATTTTCCATTTTAAGTTGGTTATTTCTGATTAATATTTAAAAGCAAATAATAATGATATGGTAGGAGATACACACCAAACAGGATGTGTAAATTATTATATAATAAGTATTGTGCAATAGCAAGAAATTTTCAATTGCACAGTATTGCACAATTGCAAGAAATCTTCAATTGCACAGTATTGCGCAATAGCAAGAAATCTTCAATTGCACAGTATTGCGCAATAGCAAGAAATATCCAATAGCACAATATTGCGCAATAGCAAGAAATTGTCAATTGTACAGTATTGCACAATAGCAAGAAATATTCAATTGCACAGTATTGTGCAAAAGAAGATACTTCGTATAAATTGCTTATTTCTTGATCAATTTCAATGGGGTTTTATTCTTGAATTCTTGGGGTTCTTTAATATGCTGAATCTAACCAAGTATTAAGTTTTTGGATTTTGGGCCCCGTTTTTAAATTGGTCCACATTGAGGTCCAAAGGGTCCAAAATTTAACTTTGTTTGATTTCATCAAAAATTGAATTATTGGGGTTCTTTGATATGCCGAATCTAACCGTGTATTTAGATTCTTAATTTTTGGTTCCGTTTTCAAATTGGTCTACATTAAGGTCCAAAGGGTCCAAAATTAAACTTAGTTTGATTTTAACAAAAATTGAATTTTTAGGGTTCTTTGATATGCTGAATCTAAACATGAATTTAGATTTTTGATTATGGGCCCAGTTTTCAAGTTGGTCCAAATCGGGGTCCAAAATTAAACTTTGTTTGATTTCAACAAAAATTGAATATACGGGGTTCTTTGATATGCTGAATCTAACCATGTATTTAGATTTTTGATTTTTGGGCCCCGTTATCAACTTTGTCCACATTGAGGTCAAAAGGGTCCAAAAGTAAACTTTGTTTGATTTCATCAAAAATTGAATTCTTGGGGTTCTTTGATATGCTGAATCTAACCATGTATTTAGATTTTGGATATTGGACCATAATAGGTGAATGTCCAATTTAAAATTTTTAAGTTCTTAGACCACATTCATTCTGTGCCTTCCAACCATCATGGCCGACTTGGTTAAAAATAGAACATAGGGGTAAAATGCAGTTTTTGGTTTATATCTCTGAAACTTAAGCATTTAGAGCAAATCTGACAGGTGGCAAAAATGTTCATCAGATTTAGATTTATCTGCCCTGAAATTTTCAGACGAATCCGACAACCCGTTGTTGGGTTGCTGCCCCTGAGTTAGTAATTTTACAAAAATTTTCAGTTTTTTGTTATTATCTTAGATATCATTATAATATCTAATATCTAATACTATTAATTATGATTTTAACCTTATTTTACATGATTTCCAAAGCATCAGTAAATACAGGTGAGCGACACAGGCTCTTGAGAGCCTCTAGTTGTATTTTCTGACAAATGGACTTGTCTAGTTTTTTTTTTTGCAATTAACATTTAGATAGAGTCTTGGGTTAAATTTTTCAAACATCAATAACTTGTTCAACCTTCATCATGTTCATGGAATGTTATGAAACATAGACAGCAGATTTTTCAAGAAATAGCATCTGAAGAAAATTTTTAATTTATTCTTGCAGCCAGAAGACCCAAATGGAGAATTAGACTATAGATATGATGAGTTCGGATTTAAAGTAGAAGAAGAAGGTAGGTAAAGTTTAACAGTAATGTATGTTGTATTAAATAAGAATACACAGAAAAAAATCATTTTTGCTAAAACAACATTAATTGAAAAGTATCAAAAATAGAACAAACAAACAAAAAATTTATTGGCGGAGGAAGCCATTATGCCCTGAGAGAACCCCACCAACCGTCAGTAAGAAAACTGACAATCCTGGTCAATTGGAATTGGAGTTGAATGCACCTGCCATGTGTGGGAATAGAACTCCCAACCTCAGTGTTGACAGGCTAGTGATACAGTAGTTGGACTACGGTACATAGACCACTCAGCCACCTAGGCCCCTGTCGGTAATTGAGAAACACAGTCTACATTAAAAAGATTTATAACTTAGCACTCACACAAGCTTCCAATATAAACAGTATTGCTGTTAAAAAACTTCCGATTTAATTTATTTAAATGTATATAGATATAAGAAGATGTGGTATGAGTGCCAATGAGACAACTCTCCATCCAAGTCAAAATTTATAAAAGTAAACCATTATAGGTTAAAGACTTTATCTTTGGAAAGTTTTTTTTTTAATCAAGAATTTTAAAATACAGTAAATGAGATGGTGTGTCTGAAGTATTGTGTACCTTTGAAAATTTTTCAGATGGACCGGAAGAAAATTCCAGTAAATTATTGAGTACTCCATTTGTTGAAGACCCACAACACAGATTGAAATGGACAGCTTACTTAGAATTTACACATAATAATGAAGTTGGAGACCTTACATGGGACAAGGTATTATATTTGCTCTCTTAATCTATTGCCCTCAGTGAGCTCCTTTCCAAATAGATTTGAAAGCACTAGGCTAGTTCCTAAAACTTTATCTGAGAATGCTTTTGAAATGCACCATTTTACCCTTTGTGATTAGATTAAAATTGATAACAGCTCAATTTTTTTTTATCCTTAAATCTAATAGAGTGTATATGAATAGAACAAATAACAAATGAAATATAATTATTTGTCACAGAAAAAAGTATAAGATAATGCATATTTTTTATCCTACAATGTAGTTACATAACCATATAAAACAAATGGTAAATAACAATATAGATACAAACAGACATTGTAGCACTGAAAGTTAATAGACACTTATGATTCTAAACGGAGAAATCACATCTCCCTATTATTCTGAAGTTTTGTTAGCCCTGTTTATGTGTGTGTTATACTGCAATAATTACATTACATGTACATTACATTAAGATCCATAATTTTGATTGGCTGATCACTATCGCAAAGCACTCCAATATCATATTTTATTTCTGTATTAAATACAACAGCTGTGACTGCACATGCTATTTGTTAAAATGTTAAAACAATGCACAGAAAAACAAACTCATAAGCTTGATATAATTCTTAATTTCATGGTTGTATCATAAGAATGTAATAATAAGAATTGAAAATTTCTTTTTATAATTAAAGGCAGTGCTTTAATGCCTTTCTAGTTGCCGGGTTAATCCTTCCTTCCGCGATATCCAACTTATCTACGTGGGGGGTCGTTAGACTCCAAGTAGATCCGGAAATGTTGAATTCTCTCCTCTTCTTATTGCGATATAAAATGTTTTTTGTTTCATTTCATTTACATTGGGAAATAGAGAAACGATCATTGTGTTTTGTTAGTTTTAAAAACTTTTGATATATTAGTATTTTGCATTATAAGCAGTCAACCGATTGACAAACTAGAATTATTTGAATTCCGGGTGGAAAGAGCTCGGGTTAATTTCGAGTGTTATCTGCAATCTAGATGTTTATAAATCATTTCAGTCGTTGATATAATAATTAAAGGTCGACTGAACATGAATTATATTATACAATTTAAAGCGCATTTCTGTTTAAGCACGTGAACCCGTCTAACGTTATTTTCGCAGTTATATAAAGTAGCAAATTATCGTTCCTGAATAGGTGGCGCCGTGGTAGCGGATCCTGTTCCTCTACTTCCGGTTTCTGCACTGTGCAACTATTTCAGTTATATTTCTAATTAACGATGCCAAGTACTTGTTGTTGTGTACCTGGATGTCATTTAAGAGGAGGACATGCATTTCCAAATGACTTAAAAAGAAGGAAAAGTTGGATCAACGCCATGGCCCATACGCAGATTGGACGAGAACACGATGATATCGTGGAGTCCATCTCAATCAGCTGTTGTTTGCAAGGCACGTTTTACTGAAAAAGACTATGTGCAGGAAACTATTCATGGTAAAACTCTATTTTCCTTGTGAAATATATAGTTATATATGTAATCGCCATGCGAATAAACCAAAGTCTGTTTACAACCGCAATTATCGTTTTAGAATAAAAGGGGGTGGGTAATTCAAGACGTCATAATTTTTTGGATTACGATTCAATGTGATCTGTTTGAGATTTTTTGGTGATTGCTACAATTATAATGATTTCTTACAAGAGGTATATCATACTGAGAATTATTTTAGCAGTAATTATGCTAATGTAGTAATGACAGGAATGCATAAGCTATGCCTCATAGACTTTCTTGAAAAATATCAATGACAATGTTAACAGGAACAAAACAATGACATGCTCTCATCTATATTATAGTTATTTAGGTACAAACAATGTACGTTTGTTGCATAAGTCTCTCATTGTTTGTCCTTTGGATTGACATAACATACATTGAATCAGGCAAACATAGTTTTATCCAGATTGTAATGAATAAATCTAGTTAATATTTCGCCAGGTAGTACAAAGTATACATTGCTAATGGAATTTCATTTAATTATAAAAAAAACTAATGTTTTATAACCTTTTTCAGGGCGCAAACCCACCATACAGAGACTTAAGTCTACTGCAATTCCCAGCCTATTTTCCTGGACCAAGCAAGAGACTGAATCGTCCACTAAAAGAAAAATCAGGGCAGTTTCCTGTGAAAACAAAAGAACTAAACTTGATGAATATTGTAGTAGAAATCTAGAGGAAAGTTTTGATTGTAAAGTTGGTTTTCCTGAAGAAGTCATTCATACTGCAGAAAGGATTTATGACTGTCCACCACCAACTGCCGAGCTAATGTTGAGCTTCACAGATGGAATTACGCAAACACCATCAATGCCTATGTTTTCAGCAGAGAATTTTGAAATGAAGACACGTGACACAGCCATGCATTTTTAACCGGTTTAGAGTTGTATACTAAATTTTTATTTGTTTTGACCACACTTGGTCCAGCAGCACATTGTTTGAGATACATATATTTTCAAATTGATAGGGTGTCAGTTGAAAATCAGTTTTTTTATGACTTTGATGAAATTGAGGCATCATACAACCAACTTTGAACTGTCTAGATTCTAGATTGAATCTAGTGTTAAGAATATTGTGTACACATGGATTGTTTTTATGCCTAAACAGTGGTGTGAGGCTAACACTTGGCCATCTAGTGGTTTAGTCAGGTATTTTTCACCATCCAACTTCAAATTAAAGTTTCCTACGACTTGGATTATTATTGACAGCACAGAATATCCCGTGATAAAACCTAAAGCTCCTAGAGCTCAGGCAACCTTTTCATCAAATAAAAACAGAAACACTGAAAATTCTTGAATGTTCGACACCTGGTGGTTTAGTCAACTATGTCTCTATGTCACATAGAGCGAATTATTGGACTTGGCAAAACATACAAAATTCTAATAAATCCTATGAATGGAACTGAAACAAAACTTTCATCTGAAATAACATTTAGTTGTTTTATGTTGTGTAATTTTAGAACTTGTATTGTGCCAAAGGATGCATAAATAAAAGTGACGCAATGAATTTTGTTCTGATATATATATATTTACAATTACATGCACATGTAAATTGTAATGCATATAAAAATAAGGAGATGTGGTATGATATTCAGTGAGTTTATCAAACTAAAGTGCATAAGAAATGGGTTTAAGCAGTTACAGGTGTTACTGTCACCGTACAATCTCCAACAATGAGAAAAACTCGTACCCTGTAAAAAATTTCAGAGATCTTACAACTAAGTTTTGTTGTCTCACCTTGACTTTGGTGAATTTTTTATATCTGTTGATGTAAATATAAAAAAGAAGATGTGGTATGATTGCCAATGAGACAACTCTCCACACATGCACAAGAGACCAAATGACACAGAAATTAACAGCTATAGGTCACAGTACGGCCTTCAACAATGAGCAAAGCCCATACCGCACAGTCAGCTATAAAAGGCCCAGAAATGACAATGTAAAACAATTCAAACAAGAAAACTAACGGCCTATTTTATGTAAAAAAATGAACAAATATAACAAATATGCAACACATAAACAAACGACAACCTCTGAATTACACTTTTATAGGCTCCTGACTTGGGACAGGCACATACATGTACAAACAGAATGTGGCGGGCTTAAACATGTTAGCGGGATCCCAACCCTCCCCTAACCTGGGACAGTGGTGTAACAGTACAATATAAGAAAGAACTATAAAAATCAGTTGAAAGAGGCTAAACTCATCAGATGGATAAATACAAATACAAGTGGACGTGGTCGGGTAGTTGTACATCCAAACAACAAAAAGACACCAAGTACAAATCTGAGAGTACTCGCAGTTACTGACAGCTAGTTCAAAGCCACTAACAACTGATAAAAAAATCTTGCATCTAAGACTAAATAATCAATCCGTAAGCTCCCTTTAGAATTTTATAAATTTTAGATTTTACATTTCTGAGTTATGGGGTTTTATTCATTAAAAAAGGGGGGATTTTCCAGTCTTTGGACAACAACTCAAAAATGCTTTAAGCAGTTCACATGAAACCGTGGTGAATTATTTATAGCTATTGATGTAATCTCCCTATTGATTTTCATCAATTTCAAATATGACATTGAGAAGAAATTGAACTTTATTTGTTTATAGTCTGGCAACAGATTTATTAAGTATTGCACAACAGCACAGTGTATTGCACAACAGCAAGAAATCTTTAATTGAATATAAATTCAATTCATATAACCGATTTCAAGTTCATTGACTACATTTATTCAGAAACTATAATATGTCAAATATTTAATTACAATCCAAATTCAGACCTGTATCAAGCTTGAATATTGTGTCCATTTTTGCCCCAGCTGTTCAGGGTAGTACCTCTGCGGGTGTATCCAGCTCTGCTCAGCGAATCAGTTTATTTCTTAATTAAGAACTCCTTTTTATACGACCGCAAAAAAATTTTTGTGGTCGTATATTGGTATGACGTTGGCGTCGTCGTTGTCGTCCGAAGACACATTAGTTTTCGCACTCTAACTTTAGTTTAAGTGAATGGATCTCAATGAAATTTTAAAATAAGGTTCAATACCACAAAAGGAAAGTGGGGATTGATTTTGGGGGTTATGGTACCAACAGTTAAGGAATTAGGGGCCAAAAATAAGCATTTTTGTAACTTCCAGACATAACTTGTGTGTAAGTGTATGGATCTCTCTGACATTGTACCACAAGGTTCCATATCACAAAGGGAATGCTGGGATTGATTTTTGGGGGTAATTGCCTCCAAATATTAGGAATTAGGGGCCAAAAAGGGGCAAAAAACAAGCATTTTTCTAGTTTCATGACAATAACTTGTGTGCAAGTCTATGGATCTCTCTGACATTGTATCACAAGGTTCCATATCACAAAGGGAATGCTGGGATTGAATTTGGGGGTAATTGCCTCCAAATTTTAGGAATTAGGGGCCAAAAAGGGGCACAAAACAAGCATTTTTCTAGTTTCATGGCAATAACTTGTGTGTAAGTGTATGGATCTTTATGAAATTGTACTACAAGGTTCCATATCACAAAGGGAAAGCTGGAATTGAGTTTGGGGGTAATTGCCCAAAAAGTTTAGGAATAAGGGGCCAAAAATGAGCATTTTTCTAGTTTCCAGACAATAACTTGTGTTCAAGTGTATGGATCTCTCTGAAATTGTACTGCAAGGTACCATACCACAATGGGAATGCTGAGATTGATTTTGGGGGTAATTGCCTCCAAATTTTAGGAATTAGGGGCCAAAAAGGGGCAAAAAACAAGCATTTTTCTAGTTTCATGACAATAACTTGTGTGTAAGTCTATGGATCTCTCTGACATTGTATCACATGGTTCCATATCACGAAGGGAATGCTGGGATTGATTTTGGGGGTAATTGCCTCCAAATTTTAGGAATTAGGGGCCAAAAAGGGGCAAAAAACAAGCATTTTTCTAGTTTCATGGCAATAACTTGTGTGTAAGTGTATGGATCTTTATCAAATTGTACTACAAGGTTCCATATCACAAAGGGAAAGCTGGGTTTGAGTTTGGGGGTAATTGCCCTAAACGTTTAGGAATTTGGGACCAAAAAGGGGCCAAAAAACAAGCATTTTTCTAGTTTCCAGACAATAACTTGTGTTCAAGTGTATGGATCTCTCTGAAATTGTACTGCAAGATACCATACCACAAAGGGAAGGCTGGGATTGAGTTTTGGGGTAATGAATCATAAGGGGGTTCAAAAAATTTGGGGGGGGGATTCTTTTTCCTTTTTTTTCTTTAAAATTTTCCATTTTAAATTGGTTATTTCTGATTTATATATAAAAGCAAATAATAATGATATGGTTTGAATAGGTAAATTAAATTTTTTTAAGTATCTTAGACCACTTTCATTCTGTGTCAGAAACCTATGCTGTGTCAAATATTTAATTACAATCCAAATTCAGTGCTGAATCAAGCTTGAATGTTGTGTTCATACTTGCCCCAACTGTTCAGGGTTCGACCTCTGCGGTCGTATCAAGCTGCGCCCCAGCGGAGCATTTTATTTCATTCATAAATTACTTTATGCTTGGAAATATAATTTTGCTTGGAGTTGAAAGAGTTGACATGTTGCAATGTACATTTACTCTACATAGTTCTATGGTACCAAATCAAAAGTTTATATAAAGAAAGAAGTCAAAGGTTTCCCATCATAGTTTAGTTACATACATTTTTTTTGTACCTGAGGTCGTTGAATATAGATCATTATATAAATAAGGAGATGTTTTATGATTGCCAATGAAAAAACTAAGGATTTTCTTATCCAAGGAATAGATTACCTTAGCCGTATTTGGCACAACTTTTTGTAATTTTGGGTCCTCAATGCTCTTCAACTTTGTACTTGTTTGGCTTTGTTACTATTTTGATCTGAACGTCACTGATGAGTCTTATGTAGACGAAACACACGTCTGGCGTATTAAATTATAATCCTGGTACCTTTGATAACTAATTTGACTATAAACATAGATAAAAAAGGTACAAACTGGACATAATGCACTAGTTCATAAACAAGTGAGAACAATCGCCTTCATATAGTGCTCAGAATATGACATTCATAAAACTTATTCAATATCATTAGAGAACTCTAAATCTTAAATACTGAAAGCCACCTGTACTATGCAAGATAATGATATAACTGGACTTAAAATACACACAACCTGTAATTAACTGCCTTTACAGCGCTTTCGTGCTTTGATTTTTAATCAAGTGATACCCTTTGTGGTATGGAAACTTGTGGTATAATTTCAGAGAGATTCATACACCGTTCCACAAGTTATTGTCTGGAAACTAGAAAAATGCTTATTTGGGCCCTTTTTTGGCCCCTTATTCCTAAACTGTTAGAACCATAACCCAACCTTCCTTTTGTGGTTATAAACCTATATTTCATTTGTTATTATACCACAAGTTTCCATACCACAAAGGGTAACACGTCGTCGTCTTCGTCCGAAGACATTTGGTTTCCAGACAATAACTTGAGTATATGTAAGTAGAAATCTATGAAATTTAAACACAAGGTTTATAAGGTTTTTATACGACCGCAAAAAAATTTTTGTGGTCGTATATTGGTATGATGTTGGCGTCGTCGTCGTCGTCGTCGTCGTCCGAAGACACATTGGTTTTCGCACTCTAACTTTAGTTTAAGTGAATGGATCTCTATGAAATTTTACCACAAGGTTCAATACCACAAAAGAAAAGCATTTTATTGTGTTTTGGTCTGTTTTTCTAATACTGTATGCAACAGGTCAACTATATTTGGTGTGTGAATATTTTATGATGTACATGTCAGTCTGGCAGGTTTTATTTGACCTTGACCTCATTTTCACGGTTCATTGCTCAATGTTAAGTTTTTGTGTTATGGTTTGTTTTTCTCATACTGCATGCAGTAGGTCAACTATATTTGGTGTATGGAAATATTTTACTATGTGCATGTCAGTCTGGCAGGTTTTATTTGACCTTGACCTCATTTTCACAGTTCATTGCTCAATGTTAAGTTTTTGTGTTTTTGTCTGTTTTTCTAATACTGTGTGCAGTAGGTCAACTATATTTGGTTTATGGAAATATTTTACGATGTACATGTCAGTCTGGCAGGTTTTATTTGACCTTGACCTCATTTTCAAGGTTCATTGCTCAATGTTAAGTTTTTGTGTTTTTGTCTGTTTTTCTAATACTGTATGCAAAGGGTCAACTATATTTGGTGTATGGAAATATTTTATGATGTACATGTCAGCCTGGCAGGTTATATTTGACCTTGACCTCATTTCCATGGTTCATTGCTTATGTTAAGTTTTTGTGTTATGGTCTGTCTTTCTTAATCTTTAAGCAATAGGTCAACTATATTTGGTGTATGGAATGATTGTAAGGTGTATATGTGTGTCTGGCAGGTATCATCTGACCTTCACCTCATTTTCATGGTTGATTGGTTAATGTTCAGTTTTCCTGGTTAACATGGTTTCTTAGATACTTTAAGCAATAGGTCAACTATATCTGATGCATGGAATGATTTTAAGGTGTACATGTCCGTCTGGCAGGGTTCATCTGACCTTGACTTCATTTTCATGGTTCATTGGTCAGTATAGAATTTCCATAGTTTGGTCTGTTTCTTTTATACTGTAAGCAATAGCTATATATATAGGTCATCTATATTCTGTGTATGGAATGATTGTATTAAAGGTGTACAAGTCTCTGGCTTGGTTTATCTGACCTTGACCTCATTTTCTTGGATCATAAATGTTAATGTGATACTTGTAGTAAAACTTTATATGTAGATATATCATCATAAAATCAATGGTCAGTATGGTAGGCGAGACATTTAAGCGTGTGCACTGAAAATTGACCATAACGTTGTACAAAGGTAGATTTTTTATTGGCACCGGAAAACTGTTTGTGTGAAATGTGAATACTATTTAATTATTATGAAGTTATCCCAACTGAATTATCAAGTAAATACTAAATTTCTGTATTAGTCAGTGTTGTTTGTTTTTCTACTTAGGTTGAATCAAGATTACCAAGATCAGATAAGCTGAAGAGCATGGTTAGGTTGGGTATTCCCCACTCATTACGACCACAGATTTGGATGAGACTTTCTGGAGCTCAGGAGAAGAAAGAAAAATCTGATCTTTCATATAAAGATATTGTCAAAGCTAGTTCTAATGACCATCTGATGACATCAAAACAAATTGAAAAGGTATGAAAAAAATATCAAAGCTTGCCTTTATTAACTGCAAACATGCTTAAATACAGTATTTTTTGTTATTGTTTTGTATTTCCCTGCTTTCATAGAGTTAAGTGCTTTTTTCTGTACTGATATAGAAATGAAAATTATTATTGCCAATGAGACAACTCTCCACCAGAAACCAGAAGTTAACTATAGATGTACGGCCTCCAACAATGAGCAAAACCCATACCGCATAGTAAGCTATAAAATGACAAACATGTAAAACTATTCAAACAATAAAACTTAAAACTGATGTTTATTATACATTATTTTATGTACATTAGGTTGTTCAACTGGTTTAGATTGAGAGGGGGAGGTCGAGATCTAAAAAAAAAAATTTGTTGAAACCCTCCACACGTTTATTAGCATTCTCTCAAGTCAGAAACCTAATTGGTTCTGTAGAAAATAGTCTTTATTGTATGTTTATAATTGGCAAATATATATGTTTTTCTTTGTTTAACATGTACATGTTATATGTCATAAATCATATTCAGTATCATTACTCATTGATACTTGACAACTGACATGTCAAGCACACCATTATACCTGATTGCTTTCTTTTTTACCACCTAAACTCGGTTCTAGCCTTTAATTTTCTTTCTATTTCTTAATTCTGTATTCTGTTATTGTTGGTGGCCTTTGTCATTTCTTCTATCTTTACTGCTTGGTTTTCCTGTTTCTTAGTTTTAAAGTTAAATTCTGATTTTTTTGTTTAAAGAGTTTTATAATGATTTTAAAATTTAGTTGTTCAGATATAAATAGCATTTGTAATGGTATATTAACAGAATAGATTTAAGGTATAAACAGAATCTTTATATATTGCCATATTAGGAAAATACACAGCAACATCAGATCATCAATGAATGGTTGTATTTAAATATAATTTATTTTTTTTGTCATTTAGGGATTTTGATAATCTCTGTGAAATGAATGATAAATGTTACATTTGATTTTCAGGACTTGTTGAGAACAATGCCCAGTAATGCCTGTTTCTGTAACATACATGGTACAGGGATACCTAGGTTAAGAAGAGTGTTACGTGGACTGGCATGGTTATACCCAGACATTGGATACTGTCAAGGGACTGGAGTGGTAAGTTGTTATCCCCCTGTTCAAATGGAGGGGATTTACTGGGTTTTTTTCATGCCTGTGACAAAAAACGCAGAAAGCGAGACATAAGGATTGCCTTTCCGACGACAGCGATGACGGCGTCAACAATTGTTAAGTTTTCTGCTTAAGTTAGTTTGATAGGAACTACCTGTGATAGATCATTGATATTTTGTATGAAGATGCATTACTATCAGTACATATCAGTTTGACGATAATTTTGAGGCCCTGCCCCTAGGCCATGGTCCAGTGACTTTGATTTTCAATGTTAAGTTTTCTGCTTAAGTTAGTTTGATAGGAAGTACTTGTGATAGATCAATGACATTTTGTATGAAGTTGCATTTCTATCAGTGCATATCAGTTTGACGACTATTTTAAGGCCCTGGCCCCTAGGTCATGGTCTAGTGACTTTCAATCAATTAACAATTTTCAATGTTAAGTTTTATGATTAAGTTAGCGTGATAGGAATTACAATAGACAATATTTTCTATAAAGTTACATTGCTGGGTGTTCATCTCAGTTTGTCAACCATTTAGAGGCCCTACCCACGAGTTGGTCCAGCAACTTTTTCTGGGAAATTAATTTTGAAAAATTTTCTGTGTGACATAACTATTTTATGAGAACGTCTGAAATTTCAAGGAGCAGTTGTCAAATAGAAATTATATGAATTGCAACATTTACTGATGATAATAACCACACAACAAGTTAAAATGAAAAATGATAGAATTTCCTTTCCTAAAAATCAGTGAACCAAGATCTAATGAAATAACTCTACATTTACCAATATCATTTGTTTTGTAGATTGCTGCCTCTCTGTTATTATTTATGGAAGAAGAGGATGCATTTTGGATGATGTGTTCAATCATAGAAGATTTGTTACCTGCATCATATTATTCACATACCTTGATTGGTATACAGGTATGTATGGCCTATGGGTTTATAGAGGTGTTCTGTCATAGCGGACATGTTACCTGCATTATACGTCCCACTTTTTATACGACCGCAAAAAAATTTTGAGGTCTTAATTGGTATGACGTTGGCGTCGTCGTCGTCGTCCGAATACACAATGGTTTTCGCACTCTAACTTTAGTTTAAGTGAATGGATCTCTATGAAATTTTACCATAAGGTTCAATACCACAATAGGAAGGTGGGGATTGATTTTGGGGGTTATGGTACCAACAGTTAAGGAATTAGGGGCCAAAAAGGGGCCGAAAATAAGCATTTTTGTAACTTCCAGACATAACTTGTGTGTTAGCATATGGATCTCTTTAACATTGTACCACAAGATTCCATATCACAAAGGGTCAATGCTGGGGTTGATTTTGGGGTTAATTGCCTCAAAATTTTAGGAATAAGGGGCCAAAAGGGGGCAAAAAACAAGCATTTTTCTAGTTTCATGACAATAACTTGTGTGTAAGTGTATGGATCTTTCTGAAATTTTACTACAAGGTTCCATTTCACAAAGGGAAAGCTGGAATTGAGTGTTGTGGTAATTGCCCAAAACGTTTAGTAATAAGGGGCCTAAAAAGGGGTTTAAAATAAGCATTTTTTAGTTTCTAGACAATAACTTGTGTTCAAGTGTATGGATCTCTCTAAAATTGTATTACAAGGTACCATACCACAAAGGCAAGGCTGTTATTGAGCTTGGTTTTGGGGGAAAGGGGGGTGGGAGTGATGAATCATAAGGGGGGCGGGGGTCAAAAAAGGGGTAATTTTTTTTTTTCCTTTTTTTTTTGTTTAAAATATACATTTTAAGTTAGTTATTTTTTATCACGAAGAGAAAGTAGGAATTGAGTTTTGGGGTTAATTGCTCAAACATTTATGAATAAGGGGCCAAATATTTTTTTAGTTTGCAACAAAAACTTGTGTTCAAGTGTATGGATCTCTGTGAAATTGTATTGCAATGTACCATACCACAAATTGAAGGTTGTGATTGAGGTGGGGGATGATGAATCAAAAGGGGGTTGAAAAAATGGGGGGGGGGGGTGGGGGGTGGTTATGGCTCTAATGTTTAAGGAATAAGGGGAAAAAAGGTTAAAAAACAAGGGTTTCCATTTTAATAGACAAATAATTGAGTAAAGAACATTATTTAAAAGCAGTGTAAGGTTGGTAATTCAAACTCATTTAAATATCTCATCTACACTGCTTTTAAATTATGTAAATTGGAAATTTGCCAATAACTTTATTGTTAATAAATGCATTGGAAATTTGCCAACAATTTTAGTGTAATAAACTTCATTGGAAATTTGCCAATATAAAATTTTGCTGATGAAGGTTTTTTGTTTACCTTTAGCCTTGACTATGAAGTCATTTTCTATTTTTATAGCCTTATGATGTAGTTGAATTATTTAATACTTTTATGATGTGTTTAAATGGGGTTTTATCATGTTTATGGTTGCAAATTTATTGTTTTAGTATAATAAACTCCATTTAAAATTTGCCAATAAAAAAAATTTTTGTTTATTTTTAGCTATGATTATGATGTCATTTTCTATTTTACTTTTATGGTTGCAAAGAAATTTTTATTTTTAGATATTACTGTTAAATGATGCTGATTAAGGTTTTTGCTATGTTTAGCCATGACTATGATGTCATTTTCTATTTTAATATCTGTTATGATGTATTTAAATGGGCTTTTATGGTTACAAAGGAATTTTATTTTTAGATATTACTATAAAATGTTGCTGATGCTGATTAAGGATTTTGTTTATTTTTAGCCATGACTATGATGTCATTTTCTATTTTAATACCTTTATGATGTAATTTCCATTTTTAGATATTACTGTTAAATGATGCTGATTAAGGGTTTTTTGCTATGTTTAGCCATGACTATGATGTCATTTTCTATTTTAATATCTTTATGATGTATTTAAATGGGCTTTTATGGTTACAAAGGAATTTTATTTTTAGATATTACTTTAAATGTTGCTGATTAAGGATTTTTGTTTATTTTTAGCCTTGACTATGATGTCACTTTCTATTTTAATACCTTTATGATGTATTTAAATGGGCTCCCATGTATTTAGATTTTTGATTATTTATACATGTTACCAAATTGGTCCACATTGAACAAAAACGGTCCAAATTTCAACTTTATTACATTACATCAAACATTGAATTCTACATATTCTTTGATATATTGAAATTAACAAACAATTTAGTTTATGGATATTCCACCATAATAGGTAAATTAAATTTTTTCCAGTTCTTACACCACATTCATCCTGTGTCAGAAACCTATGCTGTATCAAATATTTAATGACAATCCAAAGTCATAGCTGTATCAAGCTTGAATTTTGTGTCCATACTTGCCCCAACTGTTCAGGGTTCGACCTCTGCGGTCGTATCAAGCTGCGCCCCAGCGAAGCATTTTATTTATTGTTGTACAGATGTAAAAAGATGTATAGAGATGTTTTATCGTAGAGCACTTAACTCAGAATGATGATAGGGATTAATTTTTAAGAACATGTTTTTTATGAATTTGAAGTGCTATAATAATGTCTGCAGCACATTCAGCACATGTATCTATATTTTGATGAATTATCATACCTATAGCTTAACTTTGAAATGATAAATTTTAGTCCCACTCCAGTTACACTAAAAATCTAATCTTGGAATTGTACCTATCTGTGGTACATTTTTGTCCTCAAAATACATGTATGTAAGGCACTAGACATGTGTTTATGTAAATATACATACCTACACCAGCTGTTAACATATAAGTCCTCTAGCTTCCAATCCATGAAAAGCTGGAAAATTACTGTCAACCACCAGGAAACCATATTGCAAGTGTATATCAAAAACTTAAAAATAGAATATAAAGTATTTATCCCCGGCTTAGTATATTTCTAGGATTTTGATTGGTTAACGCACGTCGTTACAAAACCCATAGCCCCTGGGTGTTGCTAACCCATATACCCGGACGTTGCTACCCATTACAACGGGGAACATCACGCGCGTTTTCCTTAGTTGCATGGTTGTTCCTTGTGAAATATCGAATTCTGTAGATTATCCATGATGTCTGAAATTAAATATTTAATCAACTAACAATTTTATCTTATTATGTCGATCATTTGCACTCATTTTAGTAAATGCATCACTTGGCTGCCACATTGTCAATGAATGGGACTACTGACCTAGCTATGCAAATGACCCACGTTGACGTCACACCGTCTATGATGTAACTCTCACAACATTGAGCGCCAAATTGGACCCATTCCCGTTTCTCTGTCTCTGGATTAAAAACGTCTTGTATTTGACTACCTGTAGGGTTCTACCAAAGGTAGTACCCTACACCCTGTTAAAAATATGTCAAATTCCCAAATTTCAATAAAAGATTTTTAAAAAATGAAAAAAACGTTGCTTTCACGTTACATTTTGTGGTTGAATTTCTCTAAAAATCGCAAGATTTGGACTAAGACCGGGGATAAATTCGTTATCTACGTTCATATCGCCTCAGGGTGTACTTGGATACTTCAGGGTGTTAAAATATCCATATCTACGGATATGAACGTAGATAACTTATAATAGCCATTTTAATGGAGTGTTACAGAACCCAAATATGACATCTTACCCTAACAGATTGCATTTTCCTCTAAATGAATCTGAAATCATAAGTTTCTCTCTCTTGCTAAATTAAATAAGTACTATGGCCAAGAGCTGACCATTGATTGCTAACTATACTTAATTAATTTTTTTCAGGCTGATCAGAAAGTTTTGAGGCAGATACTTATTAACTACTTACCAGATTTAGATTTAGTCCTCAAAGAACATGACATCGGTAAATTAAATATTATCAACAACTGTACAGGATTTAATAAGACTCCATGCTATTTTTGAATTATTGGTTAGACCACTGATCATAATAGATCTATATTGTGTCTTACAGAACTAATCAAATCTTTCTGAATACCTTATCTTACATTTGTTTTTATTGTCCATTTCTAGTTATTTACATGCTTCAGAAATTATGTATTTTCTACTATCTATGCAATTGTACATTTTTTTTAAAAGATTTGGAATACTATGTGTGCATTGTGCATGCAGTAGATACAGTCAAACTTTGACAAGTCTTAGAGACCTACCATAATTTTTCAACATATTAGATGCTTGAGTCAGTGACACACCATAAGCATACTATTCTGATTGTTATAACTAATTTGGACTCAAATTTAAATATATACTGATTTGAATATTTGACAGTACTTCAAACTTTAATTATTTTTTTAAATTTCCTTATTTTCTTTTACTTTGAGGTTCAAAACATTTGTGAATTAAATATGTTCATATTTCGATGAGGCACTTATAAAATATACTCAAGTTAATCAAAATTTCAATAAATCAATTAAGTTTGACACATCAGAGTAAAAAATGTATTGAATAAATGAGGAATTTTATCAGGACTGACTAAATACCTTGACTTTACTGAGTTATTGACACAACCAAGTTCAACTTTAATAGGTTAAGGTTTGACTGTGTTTATGAAAATAACAGTTGCTTGCAGTGTATGATGATTGCATACTAACCAGCATGTTACATTTCAGAGTTATCATTAATCAGTTTGCATTGGTTTCTAACCCTGTTTGCCAGTGTGGTACATATGAAAGTTTTACTCAGGATCTGGGATCTGTTCTTTAATGAAGGATCTACAATTATCTTTCAAATGACAATGGGCATGTTGAAAATGAAGGTAATAATAGAATGTAAGAATAAAATATCCCTCAGTGGTCTCCTAGTGACTTTTTGCAACCAAGTTCAGATGGTTGTGGGATCAAATACCAGCAAGGTGAAACCAAGTCTTTAAAATTGGTATTTGCTTCATCTCTGCCAAATACATCACACTTGGGAGTAAAAGCAAAGACTTGTTATAATAATACCTCAGAGTAGGGTGTGACTTACCTTGTGAGCTAGTACATTTGAAATATGATGAATGGATGGATGGATGGCAAATTAAATGTATTTATGATGAGAACATATTAATGGGATATGAATATGAACCCTACTTTGTACTAGACTGACACGCTGAGCTGGATTTTCAATGTGCAAGTTCACAAGATAACAGTCCGTAGGAAGACATGTTTCTCTTACCGTAACAAATTATTCTGACTCTTGAGCTGACCAGTCTTTGCTCTTACTCCTTAATGCCACATGCTTAGTAGAGAAGCAGCAAATATCAATTTTAAAGTGTTTGGCTTGACCTTGTTGAGGTTTGAACCTACGACAAATGCACTTGAGGTGAGCACATGACCACCGAGGCAGGTCATTTAAAATATGATTTGGTGTGTTGGTTTAGTACAAAGCAGTGCACATTCATATGATATTAATGTTAATGTCCTGAACTTGCCTGTGAAATTTTTCCACTGGATAACAAGAAGACATTTACCAATTAATCCCTTGACAATAAATCAGTTAACAGAATGCATAATATCCCAAAAGTGATCAGTAAACAACATGTATAATATCCCCACAGTGGGTCAGTTAACATTTCTAATACCTTAAAGTTGATTCAGTAAACAACATGAATAATATCCCCACAGTGAATCAGTAAACATCATGTATAATATCCCAACGTGGACCAGTTAACATATTTAATATCCCATAGTTGAATCAGTAAACAACATGAATAATATTCCCACAGTGAATCAATAAACATCATATATAATATATCCACAGTGAATCAGTAAACATCATGTATAATATCTCCTCTTTGGGTCAGTTAACATGTGTAATATTCCAAAGTTGAATCAGTAAACAATGATTATTTAAATATCCCCACAATGAATCAGTTAGCAACATGTATTATATTGCTAACAGTGAATGAGTACAGGTAATCCTCATGTATGATGTAACTATAGTGAATCAGTTATCATGACTGACTTCTGAAAAGTTTAGACCAACTGTTACAAGTTAATTACATGTTTACCTAATGATTGTTTTTTTTCTGTTCAGGAGACAGAATTGAAGTCATTAGATAACTCGGCTCAGATATTTAATTCTCTGTCAGATGTTCCAGGAGATGTCCAAGATGTGGATGAACTAATAGAGGTATGTTGACCAAAATATTAATTTATAATGTAGAAGGTCATTGTGAGTTTTATCAATTACCCACTTGTGATATTTTTTGTTTTTTTGCCATTTGCGTTGCTGGTTTTTCTTCAGCTTATGATATTTAGTCTGCTATTGACGAATAGTCCGCTACCGACGAAGTCGAAGGGGACTCTTAAGTTTGCACTCAGTCCGTCTGTCTGTCCATCCGTCAGTCTGGCAAATCAGTTTTCCACACTTTTTTTCTTCATGCTTGAAGATATTGATTAGATATTTGATATGTTGTTTTATCATGACTAGTTACAGATCATGTTCGAATTTTGTTCTGGTCTGATGATTTTGTGCAGAGTTATGGTCCTTGGACTTAGAAAATTCACTTAAATAATCAGTTTTCCACACTTTTTTTCGTCATGCTTGAAGATATTGACTTGATATTTGTTATATAGTTTTAACTATGACAAGTTATAGATCAAGTTAGCATTTTGTTCCAGTACTCCAGTACAATGTATTTTTAACCGGTAGTGGACTATGTATTGCTGTATTGCCATGCAATACTCTCAAAATGCTTGTTTATTATCCCTTTGGTCTTCTGCCTCTCTTTTATCAAGAGTTGCTAAAAATCCAAAATTGATCAAGATAAAACTTGAAAAAAATATGTAAAATCATATATCTATGTCACTTCAATTTTTATACGACCGCAAAAAAAATTTTGGGATTGTATAATGGTATGATGTCGTCATCGTCCGAAGACACATTGGTTTCCGGGCAATAACTTTAGTTTAAGTGAATGGATCTCTATGAAATTTTTTAAGGAAGGTTCAATACCACAAAAGGAAGGTTGGGATTGATTTTTGGAATGATGGTCCCAACCATTTAGGAAGTAGGGGCCAAAAGGGGCCCAAAACAAGCATTTTTCTAGTTTCAGGATAATAACTTGTGTATAAGTATTTCGATTGCTATGAAATTGTACCACAATGTTTAATACCACAAGTAGAAGGTTGGGATTCATTTTAGGGGTTATGGGGCCAACAGTTTGCCAAAAAGGGGCCAAAAACAAGCATTTTTCTAGTTTCCAGACAATAACTTGTGTGTAAGTGTATGGATCTCTCTGACATTGTACCACAAGGTTCCATATAACAAAAGGAAGGCTGTGATTGAGTTTGGGGTTAATTGCCCCAAACATGTAGGAATTAGGGGCCAAAAAAGGGCCAAAAACAAGCATTTTTCTAGTTTCCAGACAATAACTTGTGTTTAAGTGTGTGGATCTCTCTGAAATTGTACTACAATGTTCCATACTACAAAGGAAAGGTTAGGATTGAGTTTTGGAGTTATTGCTCCAAGGGGGGTTTCAAAAAGTTGGGGGGGAAGGGATTTTTTTTTTTCCAATTTTTTTAAGGGATTCATATTTTTTTCTTCAAAATTTTTCAAATTTCAAATTTTTGAAAAGTTTCAAGTAGAAATCTTCAATTGCACAGTATTGCGCAATAGATTTGTAAGATCTTGGACCACATTTATTTTGTGTAAGAAACCTATATTATGTCAAAAATTTGATCACAATCCAAATTCAGACAGTATCAAGCTTGAATATTGTGTCAAAATTTGCACAAACTGTTCAGGGTTCCACCTCTGCGGTCGTATCAGGTTGGCTCAGCGAAGCATTTTAATAACCTGTACTTTTACGATTTAATTTGTATTATTCATGTGTGTAAGAAATATTTCAATTGATTGTAATTTTCCAGATTGCCTTTAGAATCAGTGGATCTTTGACAGATGTTGTGATAGAATCTCATAGAAGAAAACATTTAGCTTACTTAATGGCTGACCAAGGTGCTATTGTTAGCCCCCAATCAAATAATTTACCAAAACAGGTAAGATTTTCTTTAGATTTTGATTGAAATTTAGCTATATATATAGTCACTTATTAAAAAATGATAAACATTCTCTTTCTGTCGCATGGTATTTTAGATTTTTTGTTCGTATATATAAGGTTGTGTTAGACGTAGATGAGTTAATTGTATAGAATTTACCAGAATTCATATCAAGATATAAACTAATCAAAATGTATAACTAAACAACATATAGTAAATAGATATAAACCCCTGCCATTTCATAGAATGGTATTGTTTCATGAGAGCTGAATGGTTAGGGTGTTGTTTCCTACAAATGTTTTAGACTATAATTATTTTGCTAGATTTTAACAAAGACTAGCATATAAAATGTCTCTCCAATAGTTGATTTGAGAAATCCAATACCAGAATGTACTTCTGTGAATAGCTGTCATATTTCTTGTTGCTTGATCTCTTATATGGCATATGTTTGAGATGTGGCAGACAATTGGATATCTAAAATATTTGGAGAGATATGGTAAAATGAGCTTTTATCAAATTGCATTTTGTAATTGATCTTTATTGTATACCTATAAATAGATCCTTACTATTTACAGGCTGAATTATTTGTCTGTTTTCAAAACTGTCAGACAGTAAGTGGCAGAGTCCATAGGATTTTTCCTGACCCTCTAACCTGCAGTATTTTTTTGCAGTCTACCTAATCATTATTCTTTGAATAATTTGTTGGCAGGTGCCTTATAAAGAGGGTTTTTATAATCCCAGCTTGCAATTTTGTCTGTTGAACCAGTAATATACATAACCAGTAATGGATATAGTGTGGAACAATTTCTATTTTTTTCTAAATTTCAGTAAAGTAAACATGTTTAATTATATTCTTATGTGATGAGATAGTTTTGTTAAAAAAATTAGTCTTATGTAAGTTTTGAAGAGAAATGAGTTACAAGGTTATAACCTTTTTAAAGGTACAAGACAGTTCAACATAGATGGTAACATTGATCTATATTCCATGATTTATTAACTTTGGTTGTATTTCACATTTTTTTGTCACACATTTCTCCACTACTACTTTAAAGAATAACTTCGTAATTCTTGAGCTGTTGAAAATTTATCAAATATCCCAGTTGATTGGATGAAGTTTTTAACTAGCAAAAAAGTAGTCTTTGTATGTCATTATATATAAAACATTGTCTGGGTTGCTGTCTCATTTAGACATATAGGGCCACATTTCCTTTAATTCATATTATATGAATAATCAGGAAAACTTATTGCAATCTTTATTTCATTTACACCTTGGTTAATATTTAGTGTTTTTATGCCCCCGCCATAGCGGAGGGGGCATTAAGTTTTACCCTTGTCCGTCTGTACGTACGTCCCAAAGTTGGTTTCTGTTCTCTAACTTTAGTTTGCCTCAACCAAATGTTATGAAACTTATACACAATGCTTATTACCACAAAACACAGATTAAGTTTGAATTTTGGTGGTGTCACTTTAACCGTTCTTCAGTTATGTCCCTTTATAACTGTATATAATAAGCAAACGGGGGCATCATCTGTGTCCCATGGACACATTCCCCATTTATTTAATGTTATAATACATTTCCTAAGGTTGAATTGAGGAAAGAAAATATTTGTCTACATTTGATATTTTATGAATAATATTGAAATGATATACTTTTTCTCATTTTTACAGCAATTGAATAAAAGGCATTTGCGAAGGTCCCGTTCGTTAGTGTCAATGTTACTTTGGGGGGATCAAGAAGATGACGATTTTGGAAAAGCCAAGAATATTAAGCAGACAGAGTTACTTGTAGATCTTAGAGAAGCTATACTGCAAATAGCAAGACACTTCCAGTCACTTGATCCCAAAAACAATAAAGTGGTAAGTTACCAAAGAGAAGCTATATAACAAATGGTGAGACTCTTCCAGTCACTAAGTCCTAAAAAACAATAATGTTGTATGATTCAAAAGATAAGCAAGATTATAAATATAAATAGCTTCCAGTTACTCAATCATAAAAACAAAGTGATGAGTGACCGAGCAGAAGCTATGTTTCAAATTTTTGGGCACATCAACTTTATACTCAATCCTAAAAACAATTCAATGGTAAGTTATTAAAAAAACAGCTGTATTTCAATGATAAGTTACCAAAGTTAAACCATTGTGGTGACGTCAGCCTATTCATTTATCGTGGATTCTTCTTCTAGAATCAACGCTTCCTAAATCTGCCGCTGAAATTGACTCACCAAATTATATACAATTGTTTCCTTTGTGTGCCTAATTTCATTAAGTTTGAATTGGCTAATTTACTGATTTCTGTTCACTAATGGAATTAATTTAAAAACTTACCTTTAATTTTTGTATGCCTTCACTGGGAGTCGAACCCTTCCTTAAAATCTGTTATGTGTGACTGACATCAACACATCGACGAAACCTCTCGGCTACCAATGGGTTACACTATAGATGTCTATTTTATATATTTAAATGAACATCTGATATACATCAGTTCATCGGACACACAGGGCTTGTACCTTTATATAGACACAATAGGCAGTCGTATAGTATGAGTTGGTAGCCGCGAGGTTAGCATGGTTAAAATCAATGAGTTAAAGATAGGGATTTGTCGGTTAGGTTCGAATCCCTGTATTCTCTCTTTTGTTCCAATTCTTAAGTTATCCTATTTTTTTTCTAATTTTGCATGTTATAGTGGATATTTTTGTAATAATAGCGAGTTTTACCGTTTTTTTTTAATTATTATTGGCTATTTCACATGTTTGAAACAAAAATGATTACATTCTATTTGTCAATTTTTGTTTTATAAATATAGTATGATTTCATCTGTTTTACTACATAATTTTACAAAGGTTTATTCGCAAATTCCTATGCGAGAAAATCGTGATGTGCCTACTAGAGTGCTAGAAAAATTTCTATAACATACTTATTATATATACTTTATATATGCTTTTTCGTCGGGTTGTTGTCTCTTTGACAGGTTCCTGGTTTCCATTTTCAATTTTATTAGAAATAATTTCGAATATGTCTTATTTTGTATAAACAGATAATATTCATATGCCTGGTAATATAAAGATCTTTAAAGGTAGAAGTGTTATATTTGTATTTTGTTAACCAATTAATTGTGATCTGAGATTTATCAATGCATCGTTGGACACGATGACATGGTTTTTATACCCCACGCAACGAGTTGCGGAGGGTATAATGTTTTTGACCCGTCAGTCCGTCCGTCCGTCAGTCCTGTTTCTTGTCATCGCAACTCCTCTCAAACCACCCAACAGAATTTCACGAAACCTTTTTAGATAATAAAGACATACTATGTAGTTGTGCATATCGACAGGAAATTGCGATTCAATTTTTTTTCTAGGAGTTACGCCCCTTTGAACTTATTTACTTTAATGTACTACTGCAACAGTTTGTCATCGCAACTCCTCTGAAACCACACAACAGAATTTCATGAAACCTTTTTAGATAATAAGGACATACTATGTAGTTGTGCATATCGACAGGAAATTGCGATTCAATTTTTTTTCTAGGAGTTACGCCCCTTTGAACTTATTTGCTTCAATGTACTACTGCAACAGTTTGTCATCGCAACTCCTTTGAAACCACACAACAGAATTTCATGAAACCTTTTTAGATAATAAGGACATACTATGTAGTTGTGCATATCGACAGGAAATTACGATTCAATTTTTTTTCTAGGAGTTATGCCCCTTTGAACTTATTTGCTTCAATGTACTACTGCAACAGTTTGTCATCGCAACTCCTCTGAAACCACACAACAGAATTTCATGAAACCTTTTTAGATAATAAGGACATACTATGTAGATGTGTATATCGACAGGAAATTACGATTCAATTTTTTTTCTAGGAGTTACGCCCCTTTGAACTTATTTGCATCAATGTACTTCTGCAACAGTTTGTCATCGCAACTCCTCTGAAACCACACAACAGAATTTCATGAAACTTTGTAGATAATAAGGACAATCTATGAAGAAGTGCATATTGACAGGATATTATGATTAAATTTTTTTTTCTTATACAATTTTTTTTTTCTGACACTTATTTTATTTCTCCAATGATAATGTGGGTACGTGGGGTATGTGAGCGCGCTCACTAAGGTTCTTTAATTTAAACTCATTTACAATACCTTCTAATTAAGAAAAGGCTTTAATTTTGAAAAGAAATTAACACAATAGTTTGAGTTATAGATACAATGGATAAGCGTAGATTCATGAAAAACAAACCATTCGCCCTCCGGGCTCATGGTTTCTTTTTCAAGAATCCACGCTTATCCATTGTATCTATATAACAGAGCCTATTATGAATTAATAGTTTCTTTTATATAGTCCATTTTAAGAATAATTAAATGCTATTCACAATATCCTAGATATTTCTAGTCACTCAATTCTGATAAAAGCTAGATATTTTGAAATTTATAAATTAGGAAAATAGTTATAATAGATGTGTCCAAGGCAAAATCAAAGTTCAAGAACGAACAAAATGCTTTTTGTATAATGATTAATTATATTAAGATCAATGACTTTAAATGAAATATTGTTATTTTGTTAGAATCTGATAGCTGACTATACAATGGAGAGTCATGCCAAGGATCTGGAGAATTATGTCAATGTGGCAAGAAACAAACGGAGAAGAGCTAAAGCATTGTTAGACTTTGAAAGACATGATGATGATGAGTTAGGATTTAGAAAGAATGATATAATTACAGTAAGATTTAAACAGTTGATAAAAATGAATATTTATTAATGTATCCTTATCATCAGCATATGCAAAAAAACAAAATATTTTACATGTATAATTATTAAAAAGTTTTTTAGAAAAAGCTTTGATAAACACGTAAAAACATTTCTACTTATGTTATCAGTATGATTACAAATATATTGTGAAGCAAACATATTGATAGCAGTTTAGAAATGTTCATTTTGCATTGGATAATAAAATGCTGCGCTGGGCCCAGCTTGATACGACCGCAGAGGTCGAACCCTGAACAGTTGGGGCAAGTATGGACACAACATTCAAGCTTGATACAGCACTGAATTTAGATTGTGATTAAATATTTGACACAGCATAGGTTTCTGACACAGAATGAATGTGGTCTAAGAACTTAAAATTTTTTAATTTACCTATTCAAACCATATCATTATTATTTGATTTTATATATAAATCGGAAATAACCAATTTAAAATGGAAAATTTTTGGCCTCAAATTCCTAAACGTTTAGGGCAATTACCCCCCAACTCAAACCCAGCTTTCCCTTTGTGATATGGAACCTTGCAGTACAATTTCAAAAAGATCCATACACTTACAAACAAGTTATTGTCCTGAAACTAGAAAAATGCTTGTTTTTTGCCCCTTTTTTGCCCCTAATTCTTAAAATTTTGAGGCAATTACCCCTGAAATCAATCCCAGCCTTCCCTTTGTGGTATGGTACCTTGCAGTACAATTTCAGAGAGATCCATACACTAGAACACAAGTTATTCTCTGGAAACTAGAAAAATGCTTATTTTTGACCCCTTATTCCTAAACGTTTAGGGCAATTACCCCCAAACTTAATTCAAGCTTTCCCTTTGTGATATGGAACCTTTTAGTACAATTTCAGAAAGATCCATACACTAACACACAAGTTATTGTCATGAAACTAGATAAATGCTTGTTTTTGACCCTTTTTTTGGCCCCTAATTCCTAAAATTTTGATGCAATTACCCCCAAAATCAATCCCAGCATTCCCTTTGTGATATGGAACCTTGTGGTACAATGTCAGAGAGATCCATACACTAACACACAAGTTATGTCTGGAAGTTACAAAAATGCTTATTTTTGGCACTTTTTGGCCCCTAATTCCTTTACTGTTGGTACCATAACCCCCAAAATCAATTCCAACCTCCCTTTTGTGGTATTGAACCTTATGGTAAAATTTCATAGAGATCCATTCACTTAAACTAAAGTTAGAGTGCGAAAACCAATGTGTCTTCGGACGACGACGACGATGCCAACGTCATACCAATATACGACCACAAAATTTTTTTGCGGTCGTATAAAAAGCTGCTAATCCTTCATTCTTCATAGCTGAGAACCAAAAATACTTTTGAATACATTTGTATATTGAATCAAATTATAATTTAGAGACAGATTCCTGATTGCAGATTCAGTAAAAGCTGTAGTAGATTTGGCAACAACAAGAACTTCCTCAAACGCTGTAACCTTGTTTTTCAAAGTTCAGAAATAAATTTTATAATATTGTGAATTATATGCCAATTACGCCATTCGAATACAGTTGTTCTTGTGTTTGGTAATTATTAATAGAAATAATAATGTGATTGTTATTTAATTGCAGATAATCTCTCAGAAAGATGAACATTGTTGGGTAGGAGAACTGAATGGTCTCCGTGGCTGGTTCCCTGCCAAGTTTGTAGAAGTTTTAGATGAAAGGAGTAAACATTATTCTTCAGCAGGCGACGACAGTGTAACGGAAACAATAACAGATCTTGTCAGAGGAAGGTATGTGTATACTATAAAACAGTTCTGTCATGCTTAGTGAACTATCAAATCTCACATCATAAATTATAGATACTGTAAATTCAGAACTTATTGCGACTTTTGAAGAAAGGACGAAAATATGAGACTAATTATTGAGATTGTAGGAAAATCTGCCATCAGATATATGCATTGGATATCAAAATGCAAGTTTTGTTATTTCGATACTCAACCAGTTGCATTATTCACATTGATAAAAACCTTGCACTTATTTCTGAAATTACAGTAAACTGAATAGTGAATGCTATCGATGTTATATACTGAACCCAAAAAACTTACCCTCAATGTTTATATGTATTGATATACAGAAAATTATTTATGATCAACAAATAAATTAACAATTAATTAATCATGAATTGATGTTGATCTTCTATATTTCTACCTTAAAAGGGGAATAACTCTGGAATGCTTAAATGATTTAAAAGTAAACTTGTCACTATCAAAAGAGCATAGAATATTCAGCCTATAAAACTAACTGGTAAATTCACATTTTCAAAAAGGATCTCATTAAAGACATGCAGCTTGAAGGTTGTTATACAGAGTAAACTTGTCACAATTGACATAAAATAAATGATTTTTAAATTGTAATCAAGCAATGAATATTTTTGTAGTTTGTGTCCAGCACTGAAGCAGGTATTTGACCATGGATTGAAGAGATCTAACTTACTTGGTTCTACATGCCATCCATGGCTGTTCTTAGAGGAGGTGAGTAGTGATTTGAAAAATCAAGTAATTTATGTTGTGAATTTGTTTTGGAGGGACCAAGTGTTGACTTTGTCCCTTGAACTCCTTCTGTATTAGTTAAACCAATGTGAGTGTGCATCTGTTTAATAGTAGGTGATGTATGACAACACAGTCATATTTGGTCAGAAGGGGGGAGGTTAAATCCTATGCTTTCTTTATGGAGAGTGCCATGCTTTATCCATGTTTAAGAACCATTTTAACAACTCTATAAAGGGTCCATAGGTGGCCTGTTCAAAGGCAAACTTTCTGCCCTTTTATAAATACCCTCTTTTTCCAGATCAACTTTGCAGAACCTACTATTTTGATTTATTGTTAATTGTTCTTGGCTTCAATATGAATGAACTATTTGCTGCTAGATGTTAGCAAACAGCAATCAATCAGTTGTTTTGGGGGGACCATATGGAAACTTTAGATGATGTTTATTGTCTGGTCACAGACTTGCTGGCCTTTACCTTATTGAAACAAACAGTATTATATTAATGTTTGTTTTGAATAGTCTGTCAGTTATTATTTTATAAGTAAGTCAGTTTTATCACAAGAAGATAGGTAAATTATCAAACATGTTTTTTTATGTTACTTAACATTGGATGAATCTTATTATACTCCTGCTCCAAGGAAGGGGTAAACTGGTTCTGTTCCTCTCACTGTCCCTTGAAACTTTTATCAAATTTTTCTCAGGAATTACAAATCAGAGCTACCTGTTATCAAGCTTCATGTAAGCATGCTGTACTGTGTGATATGTTTTAACATTCATTCGGTCATCAACTTTCTGTTCACTTAATACTTATATATTCATACACATAATATTCGTGTATGAAATTAGGTCTCAGGAACTACCAACTACAGCTTCCTAAAATTTGATGTCAAGCTTCATGTGAGTATGCTGTACCGTGCGCTGCATTTTCATAAACTTCCCAAATACTTATAGTGGGGGTATTATTAGTGAGCAATAGCTAACAGTTCATCTTGTTGTGTTTAACCATTTATTGATTACAATACATACCAACTTTATACAAATATGAAGAGAATACAACAGATGTGAATCATGTATTATTTTAAATGCATATAGCTACATATGACATAGAATTATTTCTTGATGACTGGAAAATATGGTTATTATAAAAAATAAACTAGACCAGCCTAATTTTAACCTGTGCAAGTTGTGTTACTAATAGCATCAATAATCATTTGTTTTACTGAAAAAGAAAAGTATTGAAGAATTTTGTCAATTTCCCAAGAGTTGTCTCTCTTGGTATACTGTAAAAGTTAATTTCTTTATGTTTTTTGATAAGGGAATTTAACTATAAACTATTGTTAAAATCCAAAAGCATCTTTAAAAATGGTAATGTTAAGTCACAGTTGATCTAAGGGCATGAAAGTAGTCTTTTTAGAATGATGTTTGTCATTTTGCCTGTCTTAATTATTTTAATGTGTTGTCATTAATACTTATTAAAATCTAAAGACACCAGTAGATACTTTGTGTTCTCCTTTCCTTATATTAAACAAGGCTGCAAAGAAGAGAATTTAAACAAATGTGCAATGTGCACCTGCTTTTTAAAAAATATTTAATCGAGTGATTTTTATGGTTCCACATACCAAACAGGGACATCAGTTTCTGTTTAAATTAAGTTTGGGTTTCCCATACTAAAACATAGACTCAGCCAGTTTATACCTGTTTGTTAATTCACAAATCCTTAAAAAATGATTCTTCTACTAAGCATGAAGTTGTGCATCAGCTCTCTTAATTTTTAATTCAAGCGATTTTCCATACAAACATGGACTTACAAATTTCTGCTTAAATCAGTTTGTTAATCCACAAGTCCTTGAAAATTGTTTGACAGAGTTCAACCAAACTTGCACAGATTTTTCTACAGGACTTTAGTTGTGCAATTTTTATTTTAAAGTTTGATTTGAGTGATTTTTAGGATTACCATACCAAAACTTGGACTTGGCCTTTTCTGCTTATACTATTTGGAGTAGGCAGACAGCACATACAACACTTAGATGGAAGACAAACACATTTTCATTAAGTCATTCAAACTAGGATATATATCAATTAAAAAGGCTTTCATATTTGGTTTTGATTGTGATCACCTAATTATCTGGAATTTTAGTTCTTGTGTCTTTTGATGAAGGTCAATATTGGAGATAAGTTTAAATCGTAATACTGTAGATTCTGAATTCATATACAGTACATGATGATGAGGTAACGAATTAAAAAGGTTTCCAAAAATTTTGAGTTCCAGAGTTAGAAATAATGTGCAAAACCTTTTAGAATTTTTCTCTCTCACCCAAATGAAGAAAGTTAAAGAGAGAGAGAGAGAGAAGGAAAGAAACAAAACTATTTCCATGATCTTGTTATGTATATCATACATGTTATAGTTTGGAATTGATATGGAATTTTTACTGGAAGATATGTCTTATAAATGCTTAAAACCCCTCCAACAATTTGCCTTAGTATTAATTGTTTTTATAAGATAACATTACTGATCTTTGAAAAAGTATTGCTTTTGGTCTCATCAGTTTATCAAAGCAAAATCTTTAGAATTAAAAATAGGTCAAACTTTCCTACTTTACATACCAATGTTGACTTTCTCACTAAGGTACATTTTTTAAAGTTGAATTATATCTTAGAATTAAAATGATCAGTTCACATGTAATAAACTATCTGATAATGCCACACCTGATTATTATTATCATTATCTCTGCTTACATAATGGATCATCTGATAGATGACATGTTAAACATAGGAGAAGTTGTATGTAGTGACCTGATATTGTATCAACATGTGACAATAGGCTTATTTACTCTCAGATAATTGTTAATATTTTACAAATAACCAAGTGATAAACAACAGATGTAGATCAGGGTCATATATAGAATTAAATGTCAAAACACAGGGTATTTCAAAAGAATTGTTATTGTCAACAAAGGGTCAACTGACCACAAAAATAAGTAAATACCTCTTGAATACCATTTTATATTTAAATCACATTTTACTACATATAATAATGAAATAGTCTAGATAGTGGACTACAATACTATAGATTTAAGTATTGTTTACCACAAAGATAACTCTGTTTTCTGACCTGGGATTCCCCTTGATGACCATAATTTTGGGGTAGCTTTTTTAGTGATTTTTATACGCCCGTTTACGGGACGTATTATGGTATACCTCTGTCCGTCCGTCCGTCTGTCCGTCCGTCTGTCCGTCGTCAACATGTCGGACATTAACTCAAAAATGCTTTTACCAATTTGCATAAAACTTTGGTGAATTGTTTATATCTATTGATGTGAGCTCCCTTTCGTTTTTTATAAAATTTAGATTTTACGTTTCCGAGTTATGGGGTTTTATTCATTAAAAAAAGGGGATTTTCCAGTTTTCGGACAATAAGTCAAGAATGCTTTCACCAACTTGCAAGAAATTGTGGTGAATTGTTTATATCTATTGACATGAGCTCCCTTTCCATTTTTATAAATTTTAAATTTTACGTTTCTGAGTTACAGGGTTTATTCATAAAAAAAGGGGTGATTTTCCAGTTTTCGGACAAAAACTCCAAAATTCTTTCAGCAATTCGTATGAAACTTTGGTGAATTGTTTGTATGTATTGATGTAAGCTCCCTTTAGAATTTAATAAATTTTACATTTTACATTTCTGAGTTATTGGGTTTTATTCATTAAAAAAAGGGGTGATTTTCCAGTTTTCGGACAATAACTCAAAAATGCTGTCACCAATTCTCATGAAACTTTGGTGAATTGTTTATATCTATTGATGTAAGCTCCCTTTTTATTTCAATAAATTTCTAATATGACATTGAGAATTAATTGAACTTTATTTGTTTATAGTCTGACAACAGATTTACTAAGTATTGGGGACTATTGCACAACAGCAAGAAATCTTTAATTGAATATAAATTCAATTCATATAACCAATTTCAAGTTCTTTGACTACATTTATTCAGAAACCTATAATATGTCAAATATTTAATTACAATCCAAATTCAGACCTGAATCAAGCTTGAATATTGTGTCCATTTTTGCCCCAACTGTTCAGGGTTGGACTTCTGCGGGCGTATCTAGCTGCGCTCAGCGAAGCAGTTTTTTTAAAAATTTTAGACTGTCCACTTTTTTCAATGGCCCCTCCACCCCCACCTACTTAGGAAGATCCTGGATCCGCCACTGCATGGGTACTAATTTTCATGTCTAACAATTTTGGTGTAAAGATAAACCAGAAAAGAAAGGATATGGGGTCTCCATCCATGACATAAAATCAGTACATGCACAGCAAAAAACACAAGGAACAGCCCTTTTATTGCTGCTCTTCATCTCAAAGTCACAGTGTGGCCTTCAACACGGAGCAAAAACTCTCACCCCACTGCAAGTTTGATAAGGACCTTAGCACAGGTTTGAGCAGACTTTAACAGTCAATAATACCCTCTGAAATCTAATGGTAACGATTCATATCTAAAAGAGGGGCCCCGGTGGTCAAGTTGTCTATATAATCTAACTTCTGCAACATTGGGGTTGTGAGTTCGAATCCCGCATGTGGCAGGTGGTTTTATCCGGGCACCCATTAAAACTGACCACCACGAAATAGCACAATAGTGCTGAAAGTGGTATTAAACACCAATCAATCAATCATACCTAAAAGTTAACTATGCCAACAGGTCACACTAAAAGCCTTACCCCCTATATTTTGATGGGTATAGCAGCGTTCTCACCTGAGGTTCTTTTAATATGACCTGCATTTTACAATGAATGAGATCTAGATCTTGTTTCAATTTTTCAAACCCAATTGCCAAAATTGTTAAATTTGAATGATTACTTAAAATAGATGTTATGGCAGTGCTGATATCCTATATTTCTAGCTTTTAGTTCATCAAGCAAAGTTGACCTTAGACTGACTGTGTTTGAGGTTTTATTAGGTCCTTGGCTTTTGTAGTTCATTTTATTTATATGG